AACATTATAAAGAAGGTAACGTAACAAAATTCTCGTATGTCACCGAAGCAGAACAATCAAATTTTGAAAAACATGAGTCACAAATTTCAACATCAAATTTACTCAAAAATGAAACAAGTCAGTCTTACGATGGGATTTTACAAAGTTTTCTTTCGATTTCTCATTGATATTATTTTCAGGTATTACAGTAGTAGACGAAGCTAATACCCACTAACATCCTAAAATCAAATACAAAGGATGCCATTCGATAGAGCGTGTCGAATTACCTATGAAAATGTCCACTAAGAGTCAGATGTTTGAAATCAGAGTCACTTAATATAAAAATATTTTCCACTAACAACTTTGATCCGTTAAAAAATATAATGCAGAAGACTCTTTTCAGAATAACATTTGATACACAAACCATAAGAGAGGCGGTTTCGTCAGATAGAAGGCACTAGGTTAAATCTACTGATAGAAATAACAGGTCCAAAATCCAGTCTGCAGATGTTGTATTGTATCTTCCGTAGGCAACGCTGCCGTTTTCTGGGTTTCCATAGCAACCCATAGTTTCAAAACATGCAGAACATACATTGACACCATTCGCGCATGGCAGAATTTCTCCGAAGGCACCCTATCAGACGACCTTGATGCCTGGTAATCTCGAAAGTGAATTGAGCATAAGTTTTCGACTATTCTAAATCTCGGAGTAATGTTTATTTTTAGAAAAAACTTCAAAAACCTAGTGGAAATCTATACTATGTTGAATAATGCAGTTTTCACTATTTTTTATTTTATCTGCTCAGTACGATTATTTACTGGAGAATAATAAGAAACACTGGTGTAGTTCGAAACGATTTCTAGAAAACTTTTACCAAAGTATTTTGATTTGATTTGTGAAGCTTTTAGAGAACTGCATGGTATTCAGCAGATAAAATAGAGTACATCTTGATATTCTGACATAATTTGGATGGATCTTCACTGGGTTATGAGTTTTTTAATTTTACTTAAAAACAGGGGAAAATGGGTTATTTCAACTATGAAAAACTACGTCAAACTAACGCATCGAAAAAATCATGGTGGAATTTAGCCAAAACATTATTTCGACGGTCTCGCTCTTCAAAAATTTCTAAGCTGAGAGACCAAAATAATCAGAAATGGTCTGAAGACAAAATGAAAGCACATGTTTTTAATCAACATTTTGCTGCCATATGTACCATGACTACTGCCGATTATGACAAAGATATTTCACCTGATAAACTCCCTCTCTCTACTCCCACATTAGATCTTTTTACAGTAACTACCAGGGAAGTTGAAAAATGTTTAAAAATGATTAATGCTAGTAAAGCTACAAGCGAAGGCATAAGTTCAAAAATTTTAAAAGAAGCTGGGCCTGTTATTGCCGAAGACTTAAAACACATTTGTAACTATTCTCTTTCATCAGGAGATTTTCCCGATAAATGGAAACTGGGATTAATACATCCACTTTTTAAAGATGGTGATACCACTCTTCCTACAAATTACAGACCCATCACGCTTCTTCCTGCTATGTCTAAGATCCTCGAAGGTTAGTTTATAATAAGCTTTATAGACATCTGAAAAAACATTGCTTGCTAACACCGTTGCAGTCAGGTTTCATTCAAGGAGACTCTACGACTAACCAGTTGGTTGATTTGGTGCATGAAATCGAAGAAAATCTAGATTCTCATAAATTCACTACAGCTATATTTCTTGATTTTGTGAAAGCTTTCAACAAAGTATGGCATAAAGGACTTTTATACAAACTAAAGCAAAAAGGTGTGAGTCCAGAGCTCTTAAAATGGTTTCAGAGTTATCTGACTGCTCGAAAATGCACTACACTTGTAAATGGACAGTCTTCACCACTCCTTGTCATAAACCGTGGGGTCCCTCAAGGCTCGATTTTAGGCCCGCTTCTATTTTTAATATTCATCGATGATATTTGTAATAATAAACAATCAAAACTTCGTTTATTTGCGGACGATACGTCAATGTATCATAGCTCGAACAATATTCTTATAAGTGAAAATATGTTAAATCAAGATTTAGAAAACGTTTTAGAGTGGACCGAATTTTGGCAGTTACCCTTGAATTTAAAAAAATGTGTAGCAATGTTTTTCGGCAAAGTTCCTACACGCCCTCAGCTATTATTGAATGGAAATGTGATTCAGTATGTCGATCGACATAAACATCTGGGCTTGCACTTAACACCTAAGCTAGACTGGTCTTTACATGTATACGAGGTCACAAAAAAGTGTAAATATACATTATACCTAATGCGCTGTTTCAAAAATATTTTAAGTACGACTACACTCGACCAGATCTACAAATCGTATATTTTGCCAGTGATAAGTTATGCAGATGTAATTTATGCGTGTGCGAAAGAAATTCAAACTACAAATATCCCTTTGCCTACTGTATTAGCTTACTTAAAACCAATTGCAAGGCTACAGTATGATGCTACACTGACTGTTAGTGGTGCTATGCGTCTCAGTTCACGAGATAAAGTCCTTAACATACTAGGATGGCTATCACTTGAACATCTCTTTGCAATGCATAAAATATTACTATTATTCAAAATATTTAGAGGCCTTACTCCACCTTTTCTAGTTGATAGAATACCCACGTTAGGAGCAACAACAACTATGACTCTGCGATCTGCTTCTAACAATCGTATGAACACATACCGTACTTATAAAGTTAAATTTGACACAACGTTTTTTCCATGGACAATTAAGCAATGGAATGCACTACCTACTGCTCTCACTACAATTTTAGCTTTAAAAACATTTCGTTCTGCAATAAACGCTCACTTTTTTCCTTGGTATAAATGGCTTAGATTTAAAAACATAGACAGAAAATATGACATGTTATTCAACCAAATGCGAGTGAATTTTTCTCGACTGAATGATGACCTTTATAAAAAAAATTGAGTTACCAGCTCGCACTGTGATTGTGTAAAAGACGAGACAGAGCCACATTTCTTTTTGGACTGTCAAAATAACCAGCGATGCAGAACAGCTTTTCAAAACGACTTGAATGCTCTGGTAAACGCTCCTCTTTCTCTAGAACACATACTTTTTCAAAAACCTGTACCTTCCTTAAATGAAACAGAGATGAATGAGTTATATAAGATTTTAATAAGTTTTATTAGAGGCACACAAAGATTTTAAATTTGAATTTTCCCACTAGTTAATTTCTTCTTTGTTATTATTACCACTCTTTTCTCCTTTCTCTCTCTCTTTACTTCTTTAGTTGTCTTTCCTTTGTCTTTTTCTTTTTGTTGTCGTTGTGTATCGTTCTTATCACGCACTCTTGTCCTGTCTTTTGTCCTCAGTCAATATGTAAAGATGTAATAGGTTCGCCTCCTTCTTTTCATTATTTGTACTGAAGTTTTTCACACTTCCTTCTCTCAAATAAAAGTTTATAACAATTCTAAAAGTTCTGTGACGGTCTATCTTGTGGCCCTTGGCATTCTCTATCAGATGAGCTATTACTTGAATTTTCTCGTTGAGTCCTTATTTTATAAATGGGACTTTAAGCTAGTAGATTAGACTAAATTAACGTTAGTTAGTACTAATTAATCAGTAACAGGAAGAAAACGAACAAATATTTTCTCATTTTCTCGTAGTAAATATTCTCCACATATTTCTCTATCGATCTAGGGAAGAACCAAGTTTTTATGATGAATGCTGAATGGACAGGAATTTTTTTAATAATGGTCCCGTTTTCAAAAATTTAACGATAGTTTTTTAAGTAATTAATTTTTTTCTCAGCCAGGTAATGTCTCCAAGCCGTAACAACTGCCGCATATATACTTCAAAGTATCCTCTACAAACTGGGAACGTTAGAAGAAAATCTAAATGGGCCTCGCCCTTAACATGAAAAGGGTGATTTTATTCTTAGTTTCTATTATAAAATTTTTCATGTTAAACAAAGATTCAGCAATTAAACGTTTTATAGTGATGATATGTCACAATATTATTATCACTGTATAAAACGTTTAATGAGTTTTTGTCCGTTATATAACGTTTGTATCATGTTTTTACACTATTTCGCGTCAAAAAGTTTTAACACTTAAGAGAGTTTATTTCTACATATGACATAAAAACTGGCAGATGTTCTGTAAAACTCATTTCATCTTACTTAATTAGAATGAACATTATAGATTACCACACCATTTGTTGACTTATTTGTCTCTCTCTCTGTTAGACTGTAGGGCCTTCTACATCACCTTTGCCGTGTGCGTTTTGCAAGTAAAATTGTGTCGGTCAGTCGATTGGTGTGAAATGAATGCACTGTTAATCGTAAAACATACTTTTTATTTGATATTGAATTGATACAGACACACATGCTCATATAAATACTCTAATATCTAATAAATGATGTAATCCTCTCTCCTTGATATCGTTTTTTTCATTTTCGCATACTGTTCCTTTCTTTCTATCAATAATTTTTTATTTGAAACTATAATATATCATTTCTCATTATTAGAAATCATCCACAGTTCGATCACATTCCGAAAAAATGCCTGATTAGTAACAGTTTCAATATTAAAAAAGCCAAAGAATTATCACTCAATAGAGCTGCGAAAAATAGTGTTTTGTTTTGTTTTTTTCTTTTCTATTTTCTTTTCTTATTCACGTTATATATAGTGTGTGCTCACGTTGCAATGTGCGGTACACATATATAACATACATTAGAGACCTAACGAAAATGGAGATATCTCTATTCGCATGCATGCGAATAGAGATATCTCCATTTTGTTGTCGTCGAATATAGTGCATATGTGCACTATATTCGACGACAAATGCGTCAGATGTCTTTATTTTATTCTTTCTACTGTCTTCCTTCTATAAGCGTCAAATGTGCGGCAATGTAAGCACAGAATATATCTTGTGCGAATAGAGATATCTCCATTTTCGAGAATATCTCTTAATCAAAACTCTGACTACACTTGGACCAACTAGATCGCTACATCATTGTACGATATGTACAATTTTGGAGATCTAAACCATGTTTTCTAGTCATATATATGAACCAAGATATATTACATGCTTTTTTCTATGCTTTTGGCATAACACACAAAGAATCTTGCCTAGATTTTAGTCATATGTTCTTGTTAAAATAAACATTTGCCATTTTTTTACAGCATTAAAATCACTGAGCCACAAAAACATCTACTGCTCAGCACTTTGATAGAATAAAATGTGATTTTTAGCTGTTAAACGTTCTTTATTTGATCGCTACCATGCTAAAGGACAAGATTTTCGTGGTAATAACTGGTTCACTCAAATCCTTTGTTAATTCATCTGAAACACCGTTGTTATTTGGTTGATTAGCCCTATCATAATCCTCCCGTAACGAATCATCATCTTCTGCCTTTTGCGTCGTAGTTTGAACAGGAAAAATGTTGCTGGAAATATTTTCAAACATTTAATCAAAATTCTACAGAAAAATATAAAATACTTGAAAAATATTATAACTGTTGTACAATGATAAGCGTTTCATAACGATAAATGCGATGAAAGCAGTTTCACAATATAACAGCAAAAACGTACGGGGCGGAAAAGTGCAAGAACCATCGTTGAACAACACGGAACTTTCTTTAGTAGCTAGAGCACATTCTCGCAACACTAGTAACATTAAATCATGTTAAAGGGTGTGAATTAAAGATCAACTGGAATAGCAGAAATAAAAGTGAAATATTTATAGAATGGATAAGTTTATCAGGGAAAGAGAACAAAAACATTTTGACGAAATAGAGAAGCATGTAAGTAGGGTTGTACCGATCTACATAAGACTCTTTCTATCATTCATAACATTTTATGGTCTTTGAGAAAACCGTGTAAAACGAGTTTTTGTGCTCCTTAAAAATTCACTTAATTCTTCTCTATACACAGGAGCTGGAAGAACGAAAATGATTATTGTGCCCATGAGTGGAATGAATGAAACAAAATAACTGACTAAGTAGATATATTTTTGCCAAGGAAATTCGATACAAGCAAACGCGAATGATGATACTAGACGAGGCAGTTCTACGATAATCAATATAACTGGGCTAACAACAAATGGTTTATACAAAGTAATCTGTTTTTTCAACAGCATGTAATAATTATCCGTATTTGCCGTTGAGGCAGATTTCCTTCGAGCTAAACTGATGAGAAAGACAGTAGTCGAGACCAAATTAATCAGAAACGGCGTTGTTAAATGGACAATATTCGAGATAGTTTCGTACGTTTTTAACCACTGCGTATCAAATTGCATTACGCACCATGAATAACCATTCGAGCGTGGATCGTCGATTATATGACGATTAAACGGCTCATGCAATGAACTAACAACAGTTAAAACAATCACCATAACACCCACATATTTTGATACTTTCTTACTTAACTTTTTATTAAATTTGGTGCCTTTGACTGCATTAAACGCTCTTTCAACGGCTATGCATGCTGTCAACCAATCGAAGCCAGATAGCAAGACAGAGAGTAAAAATTCGAGCGCAACACAACTGACATATGCATAGGATTTATTTTCTGTGCCACTAATTTGTGTTACAATTAAATACGTGAATCGAGCACCTAGTGTAAGAATACCTAATTGACTTATAATGCATAACAACAACAAATAGAAGCCACATCCAACTTCATGTGTTCTTTTCCGACTGAATGTTATTATTGACAATAAATTAATGATCAAACCTGATACCACCAATACTATAACACTTGTCAATATGATCTTGATGACAACCGGCTGTTGTCTTAGAGGCTTGCCTGTCAATATTTCTGGCCCAGTAAATGCGTCCAATGATTGTGAATATTGAGCTGTTGTAAATTGGCACAAATCGCCATAAAAGCAACGAGCACAAACACACGCAAAATCAGTGTTTTTTCCAAAAACTTGTGCTGACTGAGCACAATGCCCACCATTTAGACAATAACCTCTACCAGTACAATTACTTGCATCATGATCGAACAGCAGACAGTCATAACGGACAAAATTATCACATAAACACATGTATTTGTCATCAAAAAAACATTTTACACCTAAAGTGTAGCAAGCTCGTTGATAATATTTGACACGTTTCAAATATAAAAGCTGGTTTATTGTGCTGTTCAAAAGTTCACTCACATGTGGGCAACGATTCGATGGCAATACACTCGTATGTAAAGTTCTCACATGACGGATGAAACTAACTAAATAATATAAACCGTGAAAGGTATCTGTATTATAAAATAGCTGAACATAAATGAATGCTGGTAACACTTCTTGTCGATAGTAAACTGATAGAACTGTATCAAAATGAATATTTTTATAAACTGAACGATTTTTTGGTAATAAAGAGCTCGAGCTCTCATCAATATCTAAGAGATGAACGACAACAATGGGCATTCGAATAATTGTTCGATCAGATGGTTTATCGGATAAACGAACCAAAACGTGAGCATTAGGATACTGGCATAAACTACCGGAATAACCTTCGTGACACACGCATATCTGTTCAAACGTTTCTACTATAGGAAAACAAGTACCACCATTCTCACATCTTCCCATAGAACACGTCCCATTTTGTATGTAACAACCAGGTCCAATTCTACCCAATGTGCATAAACATTGACCTTCGATAGATCGGGAACCATTCGCGCACGTAATTGATGATAAAACATCACAATAAGGACCTAACCAGCCGTCGTCACACAGACAGAAAGATTTTTCATCAATATTTCGATAAACAATACACGATCCATGTACACAATTTCGATTACATGCAGCGAAACCCTTTTTAACGTTGATTAACACAAAAGTAGTCAAACGATTAACAGGCAAAAACTGAAGTGTGACACGAAAATACCATGCTGAATGAAACGTGATATTGGACATTGTTATTGAAAAAGCAAAAATACGAACAAAAAAATTACCAAGCGAGTGTTTTTCTCTCGGATACTCTAAATATACAATATGTTTTAGCACATTATTCTGTGAAAAATGAACGACATATTCGCAAGTTACGGTAGTATCATTTCCTGCTATCAGACAAATCAAGAATTTGAATATATCATTATCCAAAGGCTTAGTTAGTTTAGCTTGAAAGTAAACTGTCAAACGTTCACTTTGAAATTCACAACGATCACCATAATAATTCGGAGAACACAAGCATTTATCTGCTGTGTGGTCTCTCGAATTAACGACAACACCAAGATTACAATAGTAACCATAATAATAACCCAGGTCTGCTTGCATCTCTTCTTGAACACGAATGTTTCTAGTTTGCTGTATCATCCATTTATTCTGAACAATTTCATGATTTTGAGCGTTGAAAGACAAACTTGTTACCTCATCACGAAAAGGATATTGATTAAAATCTTTGTAGAGGCCAAACGGATTGCTAGAATATGCGACATAAAGCAAGTCACAAAACAACTCATCTTCAGCACTCCGGTCACAATCAGGTTGGCCATCGCATCGTTTTGACATATTCACACAATTGCCGTTAGTACAAGCAAACATCCCTGTTGGACATTCTGATTTATTTCTCGAGGGACAAATAACTTCGTCGTCTCTCAGCGGACAATCATAGTAACCATCACAAACCTGTTTGTCTACTAGCAAGCACTGCGAACTGTTTTTACACCAGAATCGGCGATTTCTTTCCGATGGATAAGCGTGAGGACAATATTCTAGACGTTCATCAGTTCCACCAACACAGTCAATAACACCATCACCCACATATTTCCTGTCCAAACAAGTTTGTTGATAATTGTTGGATTTAAAACATAGATGTTCTGTCGAAGGGCAATATTTAGGACGTTCAGTACAAATTTCATCAATTCCAGTTGCGCAGTCCCATTGTCCGTTGCAAGATCGACGTCTCGCACTACATAAATGATAAAACTCATAACAATTTGTTTCATCTGTTTCATTCTTGTCTGTTAAAGCATTATTTTCAATACCATTACAAATTTCTTGAAATAAATAATGATATGGTGAAATAAGATTTACATTCCTTAACAAATCACAACCGCCGTCACTGGTGCTCTCACACGTAACTATTGGAAGACAATTGACACTATGGTGATCATACAACCAACTCGGAACATGGAGTTCTTTACTAGTATGACTGATACACGTGATACGATCACTTAGATTTAAACTTTGTATATTCTCATATGTCTCATCATCACCAAAAAAACAATCGTTATAGAGATCATTCAATCGGTATTTTGATATACAATTATTTAATAACTTACATTGAAATAACTGATTGCAAGATGTATTATGAATTAAACAAGTTGAAAATATACGTGCCATTGAATTATGAAACACATCATACTGTTGATTAGAAGGTAAACCGAAATCAACTGTAGCACGACAATGATAACCATAAATGGTATAAGCAGTAGGAAACATACTACAAATAGTATCATCGTAACAAATGTATTTAGGAGGAGTGAATCCAATCCCGTCCCATTCTGTAATATTTGTGAAATAAAGAAAGCGCACAGATGGATATGCGACTGGATTTGCAGGGAAAAAAAACGGACTCAAGCAGTTTTCTCTAATAAGAGACGAACAAGATGTCTCTATATTTTTACATAGAGCGATACATTCTGAACTAACAATACCATTGAATCCTACTTTACATATCATGTACTTCTCACACAATAAACTCTTATTATCACTAACATACTGACGATGAAGACGCTTATGATACAGATTAAAACGCAAATTAGCATACAGTGAATTCATAAGGTGCGCTTTGCAAATGTAATTTGGCCTTCCCGTAGACCATTTATACTCTTCACATTCAACGTATGGTCTGCCTATTTTTCGGGGTTCAGAAAGTTTCCTTTCAAGTTCATCGCTTCCATCCATACAGTCTAAGATCAGATCAAAAGCAAATTCTCTTACAATACACATACCGTTTCGGCATCTATATTCTGTTTTCCTATCACATTCATTTGTTTCTAATTCTAAACAATTTTGTTCGTCTTCAGCATTTTCACAATCAGCAACCCCATCACATATTTGTTTCCAGTCAAGACAGAATACCAAAGTCTTGCACGTTAAACCGGTATAACACGTGACATTGTCTATTGTCACATAGTTAAACATAATACTGTGATATCTTAGTTCTAAACGAGATTCCAAAATTTCATCAAACTCTATAAAATCTTTAACTTTAGCAAAGGTATATTGACATCTTGAACCAAACCATATGGGGTTAATACACTTACAGTATGTTTCTTGACCAGATACTGTATTATTTTCTTCAACGTATTTTTGATAATGGTCAATAGTGTCAATAGCTGCTTTCCATTTCAATAAATCAATAACTCATGTTCTGTTAGATTTCAACTGTTCGAAGGTAAATTCTTCATCATGACATTTTAAGGTATAGTTAATTAGCTGAGGAGACATTTCAGCTGGACGAATGCAATACGGTATTTTTGGAAAAAGTGGAATATTGTCACCCAATTGTAAATACGAGTAGATACAATCATAATAATTACGTGTTGTCGATG